GTTTTTATTTTTATTTTTTGCCATAAAGTAAGCTCATTAGCTAGTCATAGTTCCTTGCCTGATAAAGAGATCAAAACTTTCTATTTTAAAGGGCCTGAGCTATTAACAGTCCTGTCTCAACTGAAGTGTTACAGTTTTCCATTGGCTTTCTTTCTGAGGGCTGTGGGGAATCAGCTTTATTGGGACATAATTCACACACTGTACAATTCAACCATTTAGAGTGTACAACTCAGTGGTTTCTAGTATATTCACACAGCTGTAGGACAACCACCACAATCAATTTTAGAGTATATTCATCATCCCCAAAAGAAACCATGTACCTACCAGCAGTCACTCCCACTGACCTCTAAGTCTCAGCCCTAGCTAAACACCTGGATGTGCCTTTTCTGGGCGTTTCATATAAATGGAGTCACATAACAGGAAGGGGTTTTGCATGTCTAGTTTCTTTCACTTAGCGTGATGTTTTCAAGATTCATCCATGTTGTAGCATGCATCAGTACCCCATTACTTTTTATGCCTGAATACTATTCCATTCAGTATAAAATATATCTATATCTATATATCACTTTCATTTGATAACTGAGGATTGCTGTGCATGTGTAAAACTTCATGACTTGGTGAGTCAGAGAATATCCATTCAGGATGGGCGGATCAGGTCACATGGGAAGCTTGGTAGTCCATGGTCAAGCATTCAGGCTAATAACAAATCAGATACCTATTTCTCAAAAGGGTAGCCATCTGCAGAGAATGACACAGCTTTACTCCAAAATCCTACAGATCTGCACTGTAATTCTCCTATTAGGACCTGCCAAAGTTTGAAAGAGCATCTCTGTCTGCCACAGACACTATAGGCGTCATGGAATCTACTGAGACATACGGGCAGAGTGACAGAGAAACCTACACAGCAGACTGGACCTTTTACAGAGCCCACTCTTTCCTGGGCCAAGTTAAGAATGGAAGTTGTTCTAGATACTCTGTAAATGGATGAGAGCTGTATATTCAAATGTGGTAGATATTGCCCTTAAGATCCAAAGAGACCCACTAGGGTTTGTGCCTCCTTCTTACTAATAGGAGAACCCAAATACAGCAACTTGGTCTCTACCTTGGAACTATATTTCAACATGACCTAGACAAGAAGTCAGTAGGCTTTTTCTATAAGAGGTTAGATAGTAAGTATTTTAGGCTTTGTGGACCATATACAGTTTCTGCTACATATTCTTTGCTTTTTAATAATCATTTAAAAATATAAAAACTACTCTTAGCTCACAGGCCATATAAAAACAGACCACAGTCCAGATTTGGCCAGTGGGTCATAGTGTGGGACCCTGTCGTAGACCACCAGAACACTAATAATGTCTCTGAGGTGGCAGATTTCTGAATTTTTCTGGGATTTATTTTACACCTTCAGGCATGCAAGTGTCTTACGAAGGCATCCAGTATCCTTGTTACTTTCTGCTCACCACGTCTAATCAACAAGATATCCTCAGCACAATGGACTAGTGTGAGGTCCTATGGAATGGAGAGAGGATGGAGGTCCCTGCAGACAGGCTACGACACAGGGCTGGAAAGTTGAGCATATTTGTAACAGCAGCTACAGTTGGAGTCTATACATGATAAGGCTTATGATAAGTCACAGTAACTTTCCTAACTCTATCTGTCTTCTACATGGGACAAATAATGAGTTGTACAGGGATGTGGCAGGAGTCGCCACCCCTGCATCTTTCAAGTCCTTGATGGTGGCCTCATCTCTGCAGTCTTCCAGGAATGAAGTATTGTTTTTGATTCACTATTTTGGAAGATGAGTAATTAGAATGGTTTCACTTTCTTATCATGGAGCTCACTCTCCTCAGGTCGTGGAAACCACGTGGAGATTCTGCCAGTTGCTGAGCATGTCGGTTCCACCTACACATTCCGAAATTGGGGAATAACCACAGGATGTTCAGTGGGCCCCCTGTGAGACAAACCTGAGCCAAAATCCCATTGATCACCTGGTATTCAGAACCCCCTACTTGTGGCTTACGAAGCTCTAGGAACCGGTGTCAGCTCTGATCAGTATTTAGTAATTCATGAGGAGTGTGATTATTTTCCCTTCCTCAATGCATAACCACTCTGGCAAACGCCCACAAGTTCCTCTGGAGACAGTTGGGAGGCAGCGTCAATATTTGGCTATGTAGAAGGGTCCCTCCTCTAGAGGACTTGGCCTCTTCTTCACCTAAGGAGTTCTAGACTTGTTAACTGGCTCACGTCTTGGAATTAACTGAAAAACCACAATTCTTTTTGGTGATTCCAGTCAGGCTCCTGTACACTGGACTTGGCGCTTTTTGCTTATATAAATCAAGTAAGACTTTAATTAACAATCTGTAGCACATTGAGTGGTGTGTTGAACAACAAAATGAACAACAACAAAAATGTATGTTGAAGTCCTAACCTCCAATGTCTATGAATGTGAATTTTTTGGAAGTAAGGCTGTTGCAGACATAATTAAGATTTATGTTAAGATGCAGTCATATTAGAGAAGGATAGGTCCTTAATCTAATGTGACTGACATCCTCATAAGAAGCAAAGAAGAGACACAGAGACCCAGTCACACAGGGAAAGCTCCATGTGATGATGCAGGCAGATCAACAAGCCAAGGGATGCCAGATTGCCAGAAACACCAGAAGCTAAGAGAAAGGCACAGAACAGATTCTCCCCTCAAGCCGTCAGAGAGAACATGGTGCTGCCAACACCTTCATTTCAGACTTCTAAACTCCAGGACTGTGAGGGAATACGTTTCTGTGTTTAAAGCCATCTACCATTGTGGTGTTTTATTACAGCAGCCTTAAGAAACTAATACACTGCCCAACTATTCCAGCCTAGAAATGCCATAAACAATTAGTTAATGTTGACGACCTCTGTGAGTAAGACCACTGCGGTGACTGCTTTTGTTCTGTCACACATTGTGGTAACAAGCCCACCTTATTTTCAGTGGGTAAGTATTCTAACTTGGCTCCTACCGTCCAAGATCCCATCATTTCTATTGAATTCAGGAATGAAAACATAGGTAATCAAATAGAAACATGCAAAAAGGATATGAATAAGCTGACGCAAACCTAAATGGATTGTTGGTAGAAGTATAAATAGTTTTAATCATTCAGAAAAAAATTCAGATGTATCTCGTATCTCAGTATTACCGCCTCAGAGAAAGTATCCCCCATGCCCACAAGGGGGCGCACCTAAAGGTTCTCCACATAGCACTGCTTACAGAGGTATGGAGTTGGAGGCAACCTAGATATCCTCCATTAGGGAAGCACGTAAATGACTTTTTTAAATAGAATAAAAGTGTGGATGTATGCTCTGCAATACAACACAGCAAATCTTGCTGAATATTCTTGCTAAAATAGACCTTTGCCTGACCTTTTCACTCCACAGCTCTACTACTACTTTTGTTCAGGTGATCTTTACACCTTATGAGATGACTACGACAGCCTAAAAATGATCTCCACATTCTACTTTTGAAAATTCCTATCTTCTTTAAATGTAGTAGAGAAAATGATCCTAAAATGTGTCAGTGTTCCCAAATAAGGTCATGATCTGCCTTCTCATTGATTCAAGTCTTGTGTTATGTTCTCAAATAAAACTTTATGGTTTTCTTCACTTATTCAATTATGTATTGATCCAATAAAGATTTATTGCTCACCTATCATGTGTTTAGTCACTGTTTTCTTGGCACTGAAGTACAAAAGTGAATAAGACAGTGAAAGCTTTCTACCCTCAAGGAAAGTGCGTTTCAGTAAGAGTTTTAGATAATAAGAAAGCAATAAATAAATACCAAATGCAGTGTTAAGAAGTCTAATGTACTTTGAAGAAATAAAGTATGGGGCTAGAGGCTTAGGGTCTAGCCAAGGCAACTACTATTTGAAAAGGTCTATACTTTCCTAGTTATTTTATATTTTTCCCTAGAGAACACAGAGAGCAAAATAATACTTCAAAAGTTATCAGTATTGGGCTCCTACAGATACACTATTTATATAAAAATCCACAAAAGGAAAATTCAGAGAGCAAAAATTAACTCTAAGACATTAAAAATTATGATAGCAGAAACAGAAAACCCTATAAATATATTGGAATATAATTTCCAAGAAACCAATAAAAAGATAAAGTGATGAAAAACAGGAGATAAATAAAAAATAGAGGATCAGTAGAGTCAGAACAACATAAAAATAAAAAAAATTCCAAAATAATAACAGAGAGAAAATACAAGAGGACAATTATCAAATTAATACAAATAATAAAAACAAAATATTCAAAATGCAGGAAGTGACTCTCTGAATTAATGAACCTACCAAGTGCTTGACACAACGGCTGGAAAAATACCTTATACTAAGTCATATTGGTATGAAATTTCAGAGCACTGGACACGTATAGAAATTTCTAGAAGCATCCAGGGTGGGTAGGGGTAGAACCAGTTTACATGGTTTGTAAATATATTGTAGAATGGTTTTACCACTAGCAAAGACTTTGGGAACAATTCAGTGACAGGCTCACAGAAAACTCAGCAAAAGAAACAACTACAACGACTATAAAGAAAATTGTTAAATTACTAGAAATGAATGTTATTGTAATACTTCACATGACTTTCCTCTAAGCAATATCCAGTCATAACGATGTAAATACTAAATACATAGCATAAATGTGCTGTGACTATGAAGAGGCTGAGGTAAAGGAAAGAGCATAGGTGTGGGTTGGTGGAGAAAGAATATTAAGTCCTTGTTGGATGTCAATAAATAATACTTAAAACTAAAAAGAAAAAAAGAAAAGAAAACATAAATTAAGTCAGAGAGGAGCAGGTTAGAGCCAACGTCACATTTTTTCTCTTTCGTCTCATTTCCCACTTGCCTCCTCCCCACTAACAATGAATCTGGCTTGAAGGTAAAAGACAGAAAGTTAACTACTGATATAACCCTGATTTTTGCTCTACTTTCATTTTCTTTGGATTTTAGAAATAAGGAAACTCTCACCTTAGATTTTCTTCAGCTTCTCTCTCTGTTTATGATTACTTTGCCAGTGATGTCTTCTCTCTAAAAAGGAAATGAAAGCTTTTACCAATTTTTGTTTAATATTCCACACATCTGATGACTTCATGATACACATAAACTGTCTCAATATCTTAGACATTACAGTCTTTCTCTTGTCAAATTGCTGAAAGCAATCTTGACAATGAGGATCCTAGAGTAACGCCTGATATATCAGAGATGCACAGTCACTGGTGGTTATTGCTGGTAATGAAAGGGAGCAGGACCCTGTGGGCCCCCCAACCCCTGCCTCTTGTTTATAGAAAAGCTGAAGTCTCCCAGGCTCCGTGAGTCATGTAAGAAGAGCAAGCTCCAGCAGTTGATGAAGACAAGCCTGCAGGCATTGAGGATGGCAAGGACTCTGGCCACCGATCTCACCGATTAACTGAGATTATTCCTTCATTTCCCTATAAAACTTTCATTGCTGAATAGAATCTTTGAAGTTGGCTTTTCTGGGGGGACACATGGTCCACCAAATTGCAGGCATTCTGATTAACAGCAACTTTCTTTTTTTGTTCCCAAGGCTGTTGCCCTCAGGATCACACCCCAGCCCCTCCCTCAAATAGAAACCAATTACTCTCAGATATCTAAGTCTCAAGAGACAGCTGCAGAGAAGAAACAAAAACTGGTTAGAACCCACGGAGTCCAAGATGATGGTGGGTTTGACTTTCATTGGACCTTAAGCCTCATTGTACGTCATTCACTGTAATATATTAGCGTGCTAAATGACGCACCCACCAGCACCACGACGCTTGATAATTGCCATGACAACAACTGGAAAAACCCAAACCAGGACTGAAAACTTGAACAAGAACTGACTGACTCCATTACACCCAGAAGGAGGACGTGATGGCAGAAGCCCCCCATGAAAGTCCACGTGGCCGAACCCCGGTAGAGCTGTCTCTACCAGCCAGCTAGGTTTACGGTTCTCCTCTCGAGTGCTTCCTTTCCTGGCTTTTCTTTCCTTCTCCCCGCTAGAGCACTTTCCTTCCTTTTACTCTTTGGAGAAAAAAACAAAGCAGTTTTCACTTTGTCCCTCTGTCTCAGCTGCGAGTTCTTCCCAGCAGGCAGGCCAGGACCCACACTTTGAAGGGCCTCCTAACTTAGGGGTCTCACTACCAGTAACAGCAATAGCAGTAGTACCGCCTGTAGTCCTCGTTTGACTTGCCGGGTTGGCAAAACTGCTGCGTATCACTGTGTGTGTAAAGTGTAACTGGTGGACACAATGTGCCTTGGACGGCATATGCACTCAGTAACTATTGGTTGAACGAATAAATCAATATATATGGGAATGAGTGCTAGGTGCTGGAGGCTTTTTTCTATCAAATTGACTGGCCTATTTACAGTGCAGTGATCTTTCTGGTTAGATTTCTCCCCAGAGAATTCTATTTTTATTTTAATTGAAGAGCAGTTATAAAAGCTGATTGACTGTCTGCATTTGCAGGAAACTATTCCTGCCTCCCATCAAACCCAAACCCCAAGGGGCAATCAATGTTCAGAGGTTTCCCACCTATACCAGTGGTTTAAGAGAAGTAGAGCCCAAGATTAATGTACATAGCTTGTCAGACATGTACTTAAAGCTTTTTTGTTTTTTTTTTTGGTAATGAATCCAACTCAGGCAAGTTGGTAATTAATGCTGTAAAATTCAGCTCAACAGAAATTCTATTCAAAAATGAGAACAACATAATACAGAGCTCTACTAAAAAAATGGCTATCTAAGTTTGCCATTTTAAAAAAGTAATTCAAAGCTCTCTGTCACTTAAATTAAAGCAAAGATATAGGCACATTGTATTGTATATAAATACAAAATTTACCTCTCTTTCTTTAGAACAGTACTCAGTATGGATATATTGGATGTATATGATGCTTAAGAAGAATGTTAAAGGTATTTTGAGGGCAAGGTATCAAATTAGAGAGGGTGAAGAGAAAAATAAGTAAATTTGCACATCTAAAGGCATAGTATATTTATATATTTAAGAGATAAAAATATGCAACATACTTTATTAGACCAATTATTAGAAACACAGTTATAAGAAAAACAAGTTAATAATGGACTTGGAAGAAAATCTTTGCTAATTTCCAAATGTCATTTTTTAAAAATGTTATCAAAATCAACCTGTTTTTTCTCCACTAGGCAAAAATAACCAGACAGGAAAGAAACAGATTAACACTCTTCTAAAATTAAATAATTTCAGAGACATATTCATTGCAAAAACATCTTCCTTTATCTAAAAGTTTATGTCAAATAGAATAAAAATATGTAGGAGACAGATTTTATCCAATAAAAGAGGATTACTTTAAACCCAATGTAGACTAATTGGTAAGCAAGTACAATATAAATATGGGTTGGTATGGTTCAAATACTTAAATTTTAAGAGACTGATTATCTTACACTTTAGCCTTCTTCAGCCGTCACTTAAACTTGTAACTGTGTGTTTGTGTATTTCTATATGTATTACTAAAATATTTTACAACAACAAATTAGGGCAATCAGGAATTTAGAATTAAATCTAGATGCAAATACTTTCATATGAAAAAGCACAAGTGGCTACAGTTGAATTGATGGCTTATTTTACACAGTATTTCCCGGATTCTGGTTCATTAAAACTAAAGTTGGGCCCAGCCTGAGTTTCACTAGTTCCAAGTTAAATTTTCTAAGTAGTATTGGTGAGTTTTTCTAAAAAATAAAAATGAATGCAACCATGACTCTGTGAACAAATCTGGCTCCATGACCTGCTGGTGAGGATTAGCATGGCACTTGGAAGCGTATCTGTCAGTTTCAGTCCACACACTTCAATAGCTTTTCTTTTTACTGTGTGATCAAGTCAAAATCTGAAAAAGGCAGTAGTCACAGCTTTCTGTAATATGATCTTATTTTACTCAACTCAAACACAAACCACTGTCAGACAGACTCAGCTCACTGCCCTCACTCTCACCCACAACATCACTCATCCTCCTTTCACCTGGCACCCCCAGTGGTCAGTGCTCAGCCAAGACGCTCTCCACCCCTGTGGTCATCCAGCAATGATGACCAGTCCTGACCACTCTCCTCTTTTGGAGAAACAACAACTTGTTCTTTATTGTCCACTGATTGATAACTTAACTGTCTTTTATGTAAAATAGATTAAGTATATACTTAAATTGCCAAAACAGACATTTGAACTTTTGCTTCTCCTGTGTCTTGTATGTATTAAGACAAAAACAATAACAACCGAGACAACATTGTTGTTAATTTTCCAACTTGATAAATATTATAATTTTTTCCTTTATTTGTTGACAGATTATTCCTGGTTGCTGGTGTGGGGATGGGAAAAAGCCAGAACCCAGGGAAGGAGATAGAAAGGTACAGTGAATGCATCGGGAATGTCAGTTTGGCTTGAGGGCTTTGAATGAATATTTATTCGCCCATCAAACATTTATTTAATGCATTGTGGAGGTCTCAGAGGTAAAACCCTGTACCTGCCGGTAAGGAGTTCACATGCTCACATCTCTTGGGTGAGATAGCAAGAAATCAATATTCACAACCTAGTGGGATAAGCACTGTAATATGAGTTTTCATTGAGGTGATGGGAACATAAAAGAAGGGAAGCAAAATGAGTCTAATTGGGAGAAATGTTTCAAAAGACTCCTGGTGGTGAATTTTAAGCCTCCAGGTAGGAGTTAGCTAGTCCCATAGGGGAAGCTCATTTAAAACAAAAGGGGGAGCATGTGCCCAAGAATAGAATCTGCAATGTCAAGAAAATACGGGGTGTAGTCAGGGAACCACAAGCAGCTCGGTTACGGCTGGAGAGTGGAGTGCTTTCAGGACACTGGGAGGGGGAAAGTAGGAGAGACAGACCCCATATCACTGCACACCACGGCATTCAGCTCTGATCCCAAAGAAAACGGGGCCACTGGAGGATTCTAAGCAGGGCAATGGTGTGAACATATTTGCATTTAGAAAGATTGCTCTGACAACTGTGCCAAAGACAGATTGGCGGGGAGGAGTCAGAAGGCAGCAAGATGATTTAATAACCCAGAAGGGAAATGATAAGGGGCTGAACAGGGAAGAGGAGCAGTGAGGACAGAGAGGAGAGAGCCAGTTAAGTAACAAGAGAGTATGAAACGGACAGCAGTCAGTGACACTGTTGTGGAAGTGAGAGCGGGGAGCCAAGGCTGACTCCCACGTTCGCAGCTGGAGTGACAGAACAGGTGAGAGTGAGTGCCATCCAACAAGAGGGTCTGGAGGAAAATTTATGAAGACATATTAAATTTGCAATGTCAAGGTTGAGATGGTCATTTCAACAGTTTTTTAGGATATATGTGCCTTTGAAGACAAGAGAGAAATTGGGGTGGGGTCATCAGCATTTGTAGGGTAGCTGAAGCCAGGCTGTGAATGAGATTTCTCAGGAAGAGCAGAAAGAGGGCTGAGAACAAACCCTGGACAATCTTAACATGTGCGATGATAATGAAAGGAGACAATACGAAACGAATGAACCAAGAGGGAAGGACGTCAGGTGAGAGGGTAGAGAAGGAAGGAGAGGTCAGTTACATCAAACTGTCAAATTCTGCAGAAAATCAGAATAATCTAAAGACAGAAATATTGCCTATTTGATCTGGCAATTAGGAAGTCATTGATGACTTTAGTGGATCAAGGTAAGAATAGTGGCAGAGACAGAGCAGGACTGCAGCAGGTTGAGAAAGAATTAGCAACAGCGGACTTGGCCTACCCTTTTAAGAAGCTTAACCAAGAAGGCCCATGTAATCTTGCAGTAATCCTGTGTAATCATGGCGGGAGCAGCTCCTCAAACGGCTCCCAGTGATCCCTACCTCCTGGTCCCCACACCCTGTGTGGTCTTCTTTCCTTTGACGTGGGCTGGACTTGCTCCTAATGAATGAAATACGGTAAAAGGGATGGGATGTCAATTCTTGGATAAGGTTACAAAACCCCGGCAACTTCTGTTTTGCTTTCTCTCTCTCCCTTACTTGCTCTGGGGGTGGCCGTCTGCCACCTTGTGAGCTGTGCC